GTAAGTGTGTGCGCGTACGTGTGTGTTTGAGTGTGTGTGTTTGTGTGTGTTGCTTAAATCAAAGCTGCTTGTACATGATCATCAAAGGTGATTGCCAGAATCTTACTCTGCTATTATAAAAGAAGCATTTTATGGATGTACATGTGCGAATCCGAAGGTCACGTGCCCAGGTCCTCGCGGAACCGGACTTAAAAAACTGCCACGTCGCCCTAGGCTTAAATGGATACCAGGTAAAGTCCTGAGAAGTAAAGACGGTGGATGTGATGTTGACCACATCACTAAGTGCTGATTGGTCTTTAAAATAAAGGTCTAGCCCTCTATGCTCTGTGCACCTGAAAAAGTGGCAAAGAGTCCTTTACTTTCTACATTTGTGGCCTCTTTAAATTTTTAAGATTTTAGCCCTAACTTAATACACTTCAATACGGGCGCTTTTTGAGATTCTGGTGATGAGTTAACGGTGTTCGATCTCTTTCCACGTCTTCTGAATCATGTTCAGAGTTGCATTTGCAGCTGCTACAGCGACTTTCTCTTTGAGTTACTGAATGCTCTTTATCTTCTCAGCTTCGTTTTAAGCCTCACTGTCATACAAAGTCACACACAACTTCAACTTTTTCTGAACATTTTAAGATGTCGGTTGCGTATATCCTGTTTGCTGTTATTAGCACTTTTCCGTCTTTCCAGACAATATATTTATGATGTCATTTGATTACTTCTCCTTTTGATAACCCAAAAATAAGACACTTACCACTGTGTGACTCCTGACAGTGGATCTTTACTGATGTAGAAATTATTTTAAAGCCTGACTCTTGACATGGAGTCTTCACTAATGTATTTATTATTGTATAATTCCTGAGATTGTATCGTCACTAATATAGTAATTATAATTGAATGACTCCTAGCACTATATCACAACTAATGTAAGAAATTATGTCCTGATATTGTATTATAAATAATCTAGTAATTCTATTATAATCGTATGACTCCCGATCGTTCATCGTCACTATGTAGTATTTATTGTCTTTGACTCATGACAATGTATCCTGACTAATGTAGCAATTATTCATCTACTTCTTCCTCTTTGAGCCAGGGCCTAAGGTTTTGCGTGTACATCCGTTTTACTGATTTATTTGGGTGCAGCTGGTTGTTCCCTGCCACTCAGGCAGAGGTACTCTGACTTCGAAGGAGGTCCCCAATTAGTCGACTCCTACGACGGCCTTGGGTCTTTTCTTGTTTTCTCCACAATGGGGTCCCAGAACCCACACAGGGAGTTATTGTATGACCTCTGACAGTGTATCCTCACTAATTTCCTAACTTTTATTGTATGATTTCTGAAAGTGTATCCCCACTAATGTAGACATCATTATTGTATGACTCCTGACAGTGTATCCTCACTAATGTAGCCATCATTATTGTATGACTCCTGACAGTGTATCCTCACTTATGTAGACATCATTATTGTATGACTCCTGACAGTGTATCCTCACTTATGTAGACATCATTATTGTATGACTCCTGACAGTGTATCCTCACTTATGTAGACATCATTATTGTATGACTCCTGACAGTGTATCCTCACTTATGTAGACATCATTATTGTATGACTCCTGACAGTGTATCCTCACTAATGTAGCCATCATTATTGTATGACACTGACAGTGTATCCCCACTAATGTAGCCATCATTATTGTATGACACTGACAGTGTATCCTCACTTATGTAGACATCATTATTGTACTCGGACAGTGTCACAGTTGAGATGCAGAGGTTGGGAGGAGGTTTTGGGAGTAAAATCCTCTACAACTTACCCGTGGCAGCCATGACGGCAGTGTCGGCTCACAAAGTCGGACGGTAGGTCAATCATCTCTTTGTAGCTATCACGTGTTACATATACTTATATATATATATATATATATATATATATATATATATATATATATATATATATATATATATATATATATATACATGCAGTCTGAATTCTGGTACTGTTAATTAAACACGTAACTTAAAAGTTATGATACAATACTTTAACAACAACAAAGGAATAAACGCTATGTAAAATAACCTGACAAAAACAGTGTAAAATGATATATGTCTGTGTCACACACCTCAGGTTTCATGCTTTGGGCACTTCTGTAGAGCTTAACGCAAGCAAATAATGTGACTTATACGATTATTGAACGTATGTGCACAAGACGGTTTTGTCAAGTGTTTCAATTAGGGTCCCTATTAGTAATATAAGACACTCTGGAATGGTACAATGTACTGATGGTGGCTCGTATTGATCTAGACAATACTCCTCAGCTCCAAAAACCTTTCAACACCACTCCAGGATAAAGTAACTCAAGTTTTTGTCACCACATACTTTCCACAGATATTCCTGGGCAGAACTTGGTCACACTTCCTCATCACTAGCATTACTATCACAGTTTAAAAAAACACAGTACAGAAGAACTCTGAAAACAAAGCCACACAAAGACATAACTAATATGAGCTGTGAAATTTAAAACACAAACAAAATAACTTTCAAGATAAAGATGCAGTATGTAATATGTTTATAACAATGTAGAAAATCTCAGGTGAGTGAAAAAGCTGAATGGCTTATAGAAAAGTAAGACACAAATCACCATCAATCAGCAAGTCCTTTACAGAACGTCGCTCTCTTACCAGCACGCTTGAAAGTAACACCCTTAGCTAGCTCTCCAGTACCATGCGCTTTCAATGCCAATGCATCTTCGATGTTCTATCTTCGCGGAGGTCGACACCTACCTCGCTTTTACAAATTGCACTCTCCATCACCGTCTTTTCCAAGCCACCGTGACGTCTGATGTGGCCAAAATACTTCAATTTTCCTAACAGGACACTGTTAATGAGCCAATTTTCCTGGATGTTTAACTCGTGTAGATGTGTTTCTAGTATTCTGAGAATGTTTTCATAACATTTTAATTCAAAAGCTTCAGTGTTTTTCTTCAGTCCAGGACTGACAACTGACACAAATAATGTCTCAAATGGTCATGAACTACTCCTGAATGCCATAGATCACTGTTATAAATCATCACAAAACTGATGATGTCATAGGGTAATGATGAACTTGTAGCACAGGGTGTTAAGAAGGCTGTACGCTCAGTTTCACCAAAGAATTACTCATCTGGAATGGGAGAACAGTAGTTGACAGGCTCCTCTCCTCAGTCCATCTGTCGGTCTCTGCCTCTCTGTTCAAACTGGCGCTAAACTAATGAGATAACATTTCACGGGGTGAGGTGCCCTCTAGATCTCTGGGGATCTTTAAACACAAAGTCGGACTGTTGTAATTGCAGACAGACCTAAGTATACCCAGACTTGGTGTTGACGACATACTTTATAAGGTCACTGGATATGGCAAAGTGTTGGCAACGGCTGGTCGAGGTCGGTAGTGGTCACCTTGGTGTGGAAGCTCCAGATGATGATGAAGATGTAGCAACCGCTGTCTCCTAGTTAGAGTGACCCTTTATGTCACTTTCCAAGGGGTTGATCAGGTCACTTTACTTACTTTACTTTTACTTTTTCCTTCCACGTATGCCGCTAAGCGTTGTGGGGAGATGCAAGTTCCTGTCATAAGCAAGGCGGGCAGCATCTGATGTTCTGAGGCCATGCTTTTGGCAGGTTTCGGAGACCCCGTCAATCCACCGTTTCCTTGGTCTTCCTCTTGCCTTATATCCTGAGCTTCTTTGGTTGAAAATTTGTGATGTTATTTGGTCATTTTTCATCCTGGTTAGATGTCCAAACCATTTCATTCTTTGATGTTCTATGTAGTCTAAACATGGTGTAGTTTTGACAGTGTTAGTTAGTTAGTTAGTTAGTTAGTTAGTTAGTTAGTTAGTTAGTTGGGTTATCGTCATTGCACTCCGGACATGTCTATAGGTGCTCAGATCCTCCCCTCAGTATGAACCCCAACGTCCGATGGCTAATAGTACCAGTTCTATGTTGATTAACAAGTCTTCTGACGTGTCCGGTGTGCGTCTCGTTTTTTGCTGTGCCGGTCTTAATTCCCAAGTTTGCCATTCTGGCGAGTGATGTGGATTCACTGCCACCAAAGTCCTCTATCCTTCCCATTTCTCTTAGGGCATTGATAATATCAGCATGATCCATAGGCCGACCGTCGGTAGTGATAGCGGATCCAGCCAACCTGTCAGCTCTTTCATTTCCATCGACGCCTGCGTGTCCCGGAACAAAAATAAAGGTGACTCCACGCACAGTGGACTTCTGTAACGATTCAAGCCATTGTCTTCGCACTGAACCTGCCTGAACCCTCCGGATCATACTCATTGAATCACTGAGTATACATATGCGGGTGTATTTTTGTGTTTCAAGCCAGGCAAACGCTTGCGTCACTGCCATCACCTCCATCGTCATGCTGCTGGTTGTCATGGAGAAGGCACCGTTGGCTTCTTTGACTGTTCTGCCCGCTGAGCGTGCTGTAAATGCCCATGCGCTTCTTCTTTGGCGTATAACGGATCCGTCTGTATAGATTAGTGCATCTGCTTCGTCTGAATTTTCACCGATGAGAGCGTTGACCTCTGCATTAACAGCAACAGGATTCTCTTCTCTACATCGCCTGTTGAGTGTGACAATACAGGAAAATGTACAAATAAACGCCTGAGGCACAGGTATCCATTCTGCACCAGGTATGATGTCGGTTAGGCTGCATATTTGCCTAATAACATCTTCTGCCCGACCTAGCCACGATTTTCCCCTCTTCAGTCTGTCGCCCTTTTCACTAAAAAGCGCTTGATGCAGTGGGTGTTTCTTATCAGCACATATTTTGAGGTATGCCCGAGCCCTCCACATCCTGATCCTTTGGTTCATTGTTGGAAAGTCAAGTAGATACCTCATTGCTCCACAGGATGTGTCTCTTGTACATCCCAAAATAATGCGCATGGCTTCATTTTGCACCTTTTCGAGTCTTTCAATTTGGTAGCACTGACAGTGAGGATGGCCAGAGCGTATTCAATGGGTGAAAG